GCATTGTGCATTATGACCAATCACACATGATTCTCTTGAGCTTATGAATGCAATATCCAATCAGAGGCGTTTTGATTCGTCACTGCGGAGAACTCTGGAGTTGTTCAGTGTGCTCTCACTGACTGAATTCACAAACTCACTCAGCAGCATAAACCACAAACTGCAGAAAAGAGATTGATTGTGCAGTGTAGACCGCTTCAGTAATTATAACGAGAGTTTTTGTGAAAATGCAGAACTCCGTTTTAGAAAGTCATGGAGCGCTGTGTTTCTTTGTTATTAATTGCCAGTTTGAATAACCGTTGTGTTTGTCATGCTGCAGAAATAACAATATTGTGAAGTCTTGATTGTCTAATCTGTAAAATGGAATTCATAAACAGTTCATGCTTTTCCCCTTGAAACAACACAGATACAATTCAATCATTAATATGCTATAAAATGGATGAACATGTTTTTAATGATAAAAAGAGCTTGTTTTTATTAAAAGCAAGTCTTAATAATATCTCATATCAAAGCAAGGTTTTTTGGGGGGGGTTTCAAGGACACGTGTGTTTCGTAAGGTTTCAAGATTGGCCAATGACAGAGTTGACATTCAGCATGAAGTCATCATATTTTTGTGGTTTAGGGGTACCATGTGATGTTTAAATGTGAATATTAAGAACCTGGTGAATGTAAATGGATAGAGGTAACAACTAATTGATTTATGTGTTCATATAACTGTTTTTAAAAGTTATATTTTAAAAGTTACCGTGATACCATAGCAGATGCACAGCAGACATAACTGTTCTGAGACGAGAGAAAATAGATCATTTGTATTCCAATTAAATATCAAAATACTTAAATGTGAATATTGAATAAAAGCTTTATTAACAATAACATACTCACTGTTTGTTGTATTTGTTTTAATACAGTGATGGTTTGTGTCACCACCGTCAGATGTGTCATCTCTGTCAGATGAATATTTTGATAATATCTAATATATGATAATAATAATAACAGTCCAAGGTAAAAAGCACATTTTGATAAAGACAAAAGTTGGGAGGTTGAATCAAAGCATAGCTCAGTAGCTTAGTACATGTAAGATTCATGAATAAATAAATTAAGACACAAATGCAGTTTCATTTGTCTGAGCACATGGTTTTATTTTTTCAATATTTCACACTGTTTAGTTCCACTTCTCAAGAATCAGTGATTTGGGGAACAGATACAGTCTCTATGGTATGGTATCTAGGTAAAAGAGACTGTGTAAAAACAGAAAAGTCCTGAATAAACAGGAAAAACGGAGATGTGATTAAAGTTTGTGTCTCTCAAGCATCAGGCGTCAGCACCTTTATTAATACTTGTTTGGTATTGATTTATTATGAGAAATATACTCACTTCAGATGGTAAATGCAGTGTATAAGAGGTTTTGGTGAGAGCGCGGCTGCAGCTCTGCATTATCTGAACGAACTAACGAGAATATTCAGTACGACACTGAACATCATGACATAATCTGTAATAAACCTTGTGAAACACAGCAACACACCAGTACTGGACACCGTGTCAAATAATGACAAATAGTGAAGGTTTTTTCATTCATTTTAGTAGCTAACATTTCACAATGGATATCTGGGGAATTTGGAGGCCGAGTCAACACCTCAAACTAGTTGTGCTCCTAAAACCATTCCTGAACCATTTTTGCTTTGTGGCAGGGTGCGTTATCCTTCTGAAAGAGGCCACAGTCACCAGGGAATACCGTTTCCATGAAAGTGTTCATGGTCTGCAACAATGCTTATGTGGTACGTGTCAAAGTAACATCCACATGGATGGCAGGACCCAAGGTTTCCCAAAGCATCACACTGCCTCCGCCGGCTTGCCTTCTTCCCAAAGTGCATCCGGGTGCCATGTGTTCTCCAGGTAAGCGACACACACGCACCCAGCCATCCACGTGATGTAAGAGAAAACATGATTCATCAGACCAGGCCACCTTCTTCCATTGCTCTGTGGTTCAGTTCTGGGGCCTCATTTATAAAGCGTGTGTATGCACAGATTTGATCTTAGAGTGTGTACGCTTAAATCCACGCCAGCGCTCATATTCATAAAAACAGTCTTTGACGTGGAAAAAGTGCTTTATGAGAATTAATTGATGGAAAATACCTAAAAGAAAATGCAAGAATTTCATCTAGAATCAGTTTTATGTTAAAACTACATCGATTGAGAAGTTGTTTTTTTTTAAACGTATCTGCATAGAGTTCCTGTTGGTCTGTAAATGTTTAAGGCCAAGCTAATGTAAAAAAAAGCTAATCGTTGGTTCATCTGGTGTAACCTGGAAAGAAGACCAATTAACAAAAAAAAAGAGTTAATATACAGAGGAATCGGTGAGTGAATGTATATTTTGATAAATGTGGTGAACTGTGTGTTTTGCATTAATGTGAGACTCAACAAAAAAATCTGTGTTTCATTGTGTGTAAAATGTGACGTATGTTGTTAATTGTTGTTCAGAAGTTGCTGAATGATGCTAATGTAAAGTAACTTCACTAAGGACGTTGTTCTGTTGTGTGCAGGCCAGTTTTGCATGTATATGTTTTAAAGTTGGATTTGCTTACTGCGGGTTGTGTTTTTGTCGTGGATGCATCGAGGCTCATGTCGAATGAAGGAAATAGATGGCGAGCCACCGTGAAGACTTGGATCTCCTTTCTCACCTTCCATTGGATTTGCATCGTTCCGGCATTTTCGTTTATCTGTGCGAGTTCTTCTCTTTGAACTTAAGGATTGAGGTATCTCTTTTTCTGTTGGAACTGACATTTTCTAAGAATTAAGGGAGAACATTCTAATTCTCTTTTGGACCGATATGTTTGAACTGAAAATAATTATTTGAACTGATAAGAGGTGATATGTGTTTTCTACATTATTTTCTTTAATTGTTGATGTGGTAATTCAAAGGTATTGCAAATTTATTTTGTGGATTATATTGGCTGGAAATGTAAATTTAATTTTGGTTTGAAAAGGTCATTTCACAAAATACGCTGAAATTAGGAAACAAAGAGATATAATCTAACCTAAACTATTAAAACTTGTTAATCAGGTGTAAATAAATCACACCTAAAGCCCCTAAAGTAAAAGGGAACTCAGAACAAAAGCAAATTCGTAAAAAGGGAAAGAAGGAGCTAAATCTTTGCCTTTGGTTTTTGCATATTTTGTTTAATTTGGGTAATTGTTTTATTTTGTGACCAAGTTAAATCACAACTGATTTTTCCTTTTCCTTTAAAGTGTATTATTGATGTATATTTATATTTTTTCCCTTATTGTTTAATTATTTCATTCCAATCATTATTTTCATATAAATAAGTGTGTCTGGGAAAATCTATGTGTGTGTGCCTTTTGCCTCCTACGACTCCTGTGTCTTCTGATTGGCCCATTGATCCGGTACATTGCAATTGCTGAGAGATCAAAATTAGTTCACATTTTGAAACTTTGAGCCGACCCTGTTAGTGAGTTTTACCTACACGATTTCAGCAAAGCAGGTGTTACACAAGCTAAACACAACGTGCAAAACGTCAACAGCGGAGAAAAGTCTGGATCTTCAATCAGGCAGGTGTGTGATGGGACACCCTCGGCAATGTCCTCATCGGCGTCTTGTAGTTGTGGCATTGCTATGTTCCATTCGTGACAACAGATGCTCTCCACTTCTGTTGGCATCTCACAACACTTACTACAAGAACACCACCACTTTTGAAGAGATCTCTGTCTCTCTGAGGCTTGAAGACGTGCTGCTGCAGCAGATGCTTCCTCCATCTCTCTGAGTTCTTGATCTGAGTATTCTGGTTCAAATAAATACGGTTGGGCAAAAAAAATCCACGTGGTCTGTTGATATATCAAACTCGTCTTCCATTGTGATGACCTGTATGTCTAAATATCTTTAGATCGTCATTGTTTGTCTGAAAGTTAATACTGTGTAATTTTTATTTAGAGATTGTACAGCACATTGGTCAACTTACATTGTTTGTTTCTGTTTATTTATAAAGCACAATTAAAACAGATTCGTTCAAAAACTGATTTATTCAAGGAACGAAACACCATGTTCCTATGCACTGTAAAAAAAAGAAGAAGAAAAAAAAGATGAATAGCACATTTGTGCTCGCGCACTTGTGCTGATATTCAGAAAAGTACATTGCTTGTGCAATGAATATAAAAACAAAAACTCATACATGGGTATTTTTTCTTTCATTGCTTGAAGTATAAGGGCATTCTAACTGCATTCTAATAGGCTTAATTGTGCAGTGAATGCTTTTGGACTTTGAACAAGACCTGTTTTTGTTTGTTTGTTTGTTGCAAAGTCGGTGACATACTTGATAATGTCAGCTCTCGTATCGCCTCTCAGTCCCTTACAGTCACACATACAGTAAAATAACATTATGTCAGGGGAATGTCTTTCAATTCTAATCAAGGAAAATCCATACCTTTTGTTGTCTTCTTTTTTTTTTTAAATTCAAAAGTTGCGATTGAATCATTTTGTGCAAAAAAGGATGAAAACTTGCTTCAGCTGTGCGCAGCTTCATACAGTACCAAGTTCTGATTGGCCAATTGCCATTATTTAGTTAGTGAATTATCAGTAGAGTATTTTAACATTTCATTTGCATGATAAGTTTTACATAATACACATTATTAATCTAAAGGGGATGGTAAGGGGGGATGGTGGTTTTACTGAGGGGATGCTTTTTGTCATTTTTCTCTATCAAGGGGATGCCATCCCCCCACAATTCGAGCCCTGGGTATCGTTAAGATTTTAACAGTATTACTATTCTCACGATACTGCACATCAGTCCAGTTCTTTAATGGTATTCTTTTTTTCATGAATAAAGGGCCCATTAAATACCATGTTCTGGTACCCATCCCTTCTTACAAGAGAAGCACAGAAGAATCAGTTGCAAAGCTACATGACAGTATATCTTGCATCTGCATTTTCTAAATACACCGTAAGTGGAAGAATAATTCGTCATTTTAAAAACAACAGTGAAGAAAAATAAGAAAGCACAATAATAAAATGTTTTGACAGTTATTTGGGGAGGAACTCCATCTTTGATTTTTATCAGAATCTCAGCTGAATCTTGAATACTTACTGCAAATGTTTTTTGTATGACTGAGTAGAGAAGATGAACGATTGAAACACTTCCCACATGCAGTGCAGTGATACGGTTTCTCTCCAGTGTGGATCCTCTCGTGTGTTTTCAGATGTGATGAATGACTGAATCTCTTGTCACAGTGTGAACACTTGTAAGGTTTCTCTCCAGTGTGGATCCTCTCGTGCCGTTTTAAACTGTGCGCTGTAGTAAAAGTCTTTTCACACTCAAAGCACATGTACTCTCTCACACAAGTATGCATTTTCTGATGTTTTTTCAAAGTTGAAAAACGTGTAAAACTCTTTCCACACAAAGAACATGAATGTGGCTTCTCCTTTATATGAACTCTCAGGTGCTGCTTCAGGTCATAAGCTCTCAAAAATGTTTTGCTGCACTGATCACATGTGTACAGTTTCTCTCCAGTGTGGATCCTCTCATGTCTTTTCAGATGTCCTGACCGACTGAATCTCTTTTCACAGTGTGAACACTTGTAAGGTTTCTCTCCAGTGTGGATGTTCATGTGTATCTTAAGGTTTGATGATTGTGTGAAACTCTTCCCGCACTGATTACAAGTAAACGGTTTCTCTCCAGTGTGAACTCTCATGTGAACATCAAGACTTTTTTTGCTTGTCAAACTCTTTCCACACTGAGTGCAGGTGAAAGATATTTTGGCTCCTCTTTTCTTTAAATCTTTATGTTTGGTTTGAGAGCAACTCAAAGGTTTTTCTCCAGTTTTGACATGATGTTTCTCCTCATCTTCACTCAATTCTTCGTTCTCCTCACTTTCTTCAATAAACTCTAAAATAAAAGCAAAAATAGTTTATTTGTCAGTAACTTGAAAAACAACCAAACAAACAAAAACAGAAATGTGAAAGTACATAAAAGTCAACCCTGGTGTAACAGACAATTTTTTATTCAAAATTGTCTTTCTTTTGATGCAATTTTATAAATTTTACCTCCCTGAAACTTTTCATGAATGAGGTACATTGATCTTCAAAATATAATTTTTTAAATATTATAGACACAAATCACATGTTTCTATAAGGAGAACTATTAAATATGTTTGATCACCTACACGATTATCTAACATACATTCTGTTGAAAAAAGTGTCCCTTATTATTTGCTGCTGCATCTATATTATTCAAGAAATTTAATCGTAGTACAGCACTGATTTTGTAGCATACGTTTGACTGAATTGTTTGATTTTGTCTTTATTTCCTATTACATAAGTCTCTTATACTTAATACTTATACTTTTATAATGGCTATTATTGTTCATTAAAACTGATAGGCTATTTAACAAAAAAATAGAGTTGTGCTTTATGTAATATTTCATATTATTATTTATACAGTGAAGATGCATAATTTGCAGAATTACCAGACTTCCAGACTATCCTCCCGTCCCCAAGAGTTCACACTCTCAAGTCGAACTTGCAAAGTCCAAACTACCAAGCATGCAAGTCTGAACTTTGCGTACTTGGTATTGAAAAATAGTTAACGTCCCTTTAAAGGCACAATATGTAAGATTTCTTTATTAAAATATCCAAAAACCACTAGAACAGTGTTATATATTTTGCTGACTTGTGTCTTACATTATCCCAAATATTCCGAAGAATGTTTAAATCCAGAGAAATAAGCAATTTTAACTAGTGACACGGGCCGTGTCCATAGTGTCATTGTGTCGACCGCCAATGACGTCATAACCCCTCGATTTCCGGTTTTATTTTGTAGAAAACATGGAAACACCAAAGAAGCTTTAATATGTTGTGCGTTTTAATAGACTGGTGACAACCGCACAGAGTAGCATTATAACAGAACTTTCAAATTTATCTAGTATGATAAAACAGCGCTGCTTTACCCCACATACGCACGACCGGAAGGAGCGGAAGCGGTCGACTGTGGCATAATAAAAGCTCCGCTGCTCTACCCCACATACGCACGACCGGAAGGAGCGGAAGCGGTCGACTGTGGCATAATAAAAGCTCCGCTGCTCTACCCCACATACGCACGACCGGAAGGAGCGGAAGCGCTCGACTGTGGCATAATAAAAGCTCCGCTGCTTTACCCCA